GGCCAAGCTGAGCAAGGAATATCATCTGTGTAATTGGAAACACAGGGCACTGGGGAAAGAAATCAGTATGTATTCACAGGAAGCAGGATCTTCAGGAAAACAAACCCTAAAGTTGTTTACTGAACACAGGAAAAGCTGGTGGTAAGTTTACTTTGAAAACTAACTAATGATTAAATTATTTGAAATATTATTAAAGCTAATGTCCTCTTCTTATATTTAAAGGTAGTTTTCAAAATTTGGTCTTTATAGGCTTTTACATTTCAGGATCATATGCAAACCAAATTAACACCCAGGGTGCTTAATTTCCTTCTGAAAGGTAAGTCTTTATTATGGTGTGTGTTGTAAACAGCATGATACTACCCCACAAAATAAGTGGATTTTAAAAAAACCAAAGAGTATCTTCTTTTTAAATTATTTTCCACTTGTGCCGGACTGGCCTTCTCTGCAGTACTGCAGGTTTGAGTGCAGGGATGAAGGCTCTACTGTGTTACAGCCAGATATCACTGCTTTTTGAGTTCATCAGGCTACTTGCTCTGCTACAAAGCACTGCAGGGAGGGAGACAGCTCTGTATCACAAATGAGAGGAGGGCTGGGTCAGCGCTCCTACTGTTCAGTACTGTGATTTAGCGTTAGTGCCCTGTTCTACTTCAAGAGCGGACTGGAGGATTGTCCCAGCTTCATGCTGTCTGCGGTCTCTAGTTCAGGGGAATACAGAAGTGGTTTATTTGCTTCTTACTCCTTCCAGGTTCTCTCTTCTTCCTGCAATCTCCTTTCCAAAAAGCAGTCATAAGATTCTAGAAATTTAAAGAGACTTTTATTGCACCAATGTACTTTTTTTGCACAATGTTGTTCAGGCTGAGCTCTCTTGTTACAGTCAAATGATGTGGAAGTGAGCTGTTGCCAAAAGGAGCAGGCCCACTATTTGCCCTCCATCTACAGATACTTGCTATGTCTGTAGCAGCCACTTCCTCCTATTTCATTTCCATCCAGCGTAGTGACTGAGTGGTTTTAGGATTAATCTCTTTATGTGGCCCATGATATAGGAAACTATTCTCTTTCTTCTCTCCCAAACAAGGGGGTTTTTTGGATCAATTCATTCATGGCTGCACCTTTTCTAGATTTAAAACATAGTAATGTTGAGTACTTTTTTGTTCTTTTTTTCTTATTTCTTTTAAATACGATTATAAAGTTCAATGGGTAAGGAGGCAGAACCTCTGTTTTTTCCACACATACAATGTGTGCAGGTGACCATTTCCAGTGACATTCTCACATACTAAAGTAAATCACAAATACCATTTGGCATTTTTCAAAATTAAACAAGTGGGGAACACAATTCATAGTAAAATGTTGAGGAAGGTGCTGCCTATGCTGCTGTCACCACTCGTCTCCTCTGTAATTTTTTTAAGTCTCAAGAAAGTAATGAGAGAACGTTTCAAAGACTGTGGTGAAATACATGGCTCATTACAAGTATTGAGAACTGTTCACTGATTTTTGCATACCTCAGAAATCTACAGTCTTCATTGCTTTCCTTTACTTAGTGGATCCTTGATGTTGCAATCAGTTCATTATAAGAGTTTATAAGAGAAGGTCCAGCCCTAATTGATCTGACTCATCTCTGGCTATAAGGGCTCTGCGTTACTGTGTATATGGGTCAGAGACAATCATCCTGGGCAACATGATTAAAAAGACAAGACTCATTTCTATCAAAAGCAGCATGAACTCATTTCTATCAAAAGCAGCAGAGGGATAGAGGTGATCCAGGTGGTACCTGCAGCTCAAGCAGGCACACGTTGTTGACAAAGACACCTGACTTCTTCAAGAGTCCACCTCACAAATACAACATGTCATGACAGCCTTGGTAATAGAGAACAGATCTCTTTATAGCTGACAGAAACATTTGTTTGCATTCCACTGGATGATTCTGTTTCCCATCACTAAAAGCTTAAAGAATTTTTCGACATTATGAGTTTTTTAATAGCTTTCCTTCTTAGTAACTTAAACAATTTTCCATTAACATGCCAGTGTTCTAACTATTTGTTTAATATCTGAGGGTGATGTAAAATCACCTTCATGGCTGCTATATCACCATTTTCTGTGCTGCTCTATTATTTCCCCAATATGTAACTTGAGTAATCCTGTCTTTAAGAATCCTATCTTCTTGCTGGAACAGTATGTTGTCGTTATAGCAAAAACAATATAAAGCACAGTCAGCCTCAGACAAGTTCTTACTCATAAAGAATACAAAATGGATATCCAGAAGATTTCAGTATGTGTGGCAGCCTAAGAAACTGTTTTTGAAGAAAAAATAGGGGGGAAGTATATTATTTTAGTTAGTTTTGAAAGTTTTTTAGTATTCTTTGCTGAAACCTTAAAGACCATTTTTACAAACTCACATTTTATCCTTGATTATTTCACCAGTGTCCCACCATTCTTAACCTTTTCTTGAATGTTTTTAATGACAATCTATACTGACAGAAGAGAACACTTCATCATTACAGAAAATTTTCATGGGAAGAATTATTGTGGTTCCAAATTAATGAAAATCATTCATTGTTATGGTGTATTCATAGTAATCATATACTCGATCATGATTCATTTGTGAATTTGTGGCATATAAATGATTTAGCCAGAGTACAGAGGTGACAGAAAAGCAGTGAGTTGTAGAAGAAAAACTTAATCAATAAGTTCAGTTTTCTTTTCATTTAAAATACGTCAAATACTTCTTCAGTCAATACACATTATCAAATCAATTTGTATGTTTAAAAATAAAAAATCGTGTCATTCATTAACGTCAGTCTTGTGTGATCCACAAATCATTTAACTTCTGAGAAAATTTATGACATTAGCCATTGGGAAAAAAAATTAGCTGGATGCCTAGCAAAGCAAACGAATATGGGAGTTTGGAAGAACCTATTTGGGTGCCTGTTAGAAAATGACATGCTTACCAGGGTGTGTTGTGAAATATTTTGTGTCTGTCTACTACATTTATCGGCACTATCATATATCATCTTCGGAGTAGATACACATATCCACTCTTCTAATTCAAGAAGTTAGGAAGCAAGTAAACAAAGATTTTCCAGTTGTGGATTCGAGAATGAACAACTGATTCTTTGCATACTATCCACACCTTTTCTTTCCCTTTAGATTTTATTCATATACATGGGTCTGACAAAAAAATATCAAGATGCTTAAAAGTAATCTGAGTAGGACAGGATTTTGAGAAGCCCTAGTCCAACATGTCTGCACATATGGGCAATATGATATGTCCTTTTGGGGGAAAAAAATCCGATAAATTTAAGTATTTATGCACATCTACTCTGTATCTTTTTAATTTTGTATTTGAAACAGATCATTTTTGTCTTGAACATCTAAGGAAGGAAAAACACCATCAGGTTCTATTTCTGGTCATAGATATCTGACTGAAAAGACTGCATCTGGAAGATCATTTGTATGCTTTACCTTTGAAAGTAGCTGGAGGAGTAATTTGTTAAAGACACAAAAGACGAAACAAGGTAAATGGCTAAACTTGTCATTTTATGAACTGCAATGTGGTTCAGTTTTAACAAAATCTACTCACTGCACCCTGCAACTTCCTCAAGGTGGGCAGTGAAGAATGGGTGCTGATCTCTCTCCGGTGACGCGCAGAATGGGCTGCCCAGAGAGGTGGTGGATTCACCATCCCTGGAGATTTTTAAACGCAGATTGGATGTTGCACTGAGTGCCATGATCTAGTAAATGGACTGGATTTGGACCAAGGGTTGGACTCGATGATCTCGGAGGTCTTTTCCAACCCAATCGATTCTATGATTCTATTCTATGAATGGAATGAAGCTGCATCAGGGGAGGTTCAGATTGAACACTAGTAAAATGTTCTCTGAGAGGGTGGTTTGTCACTGGAACAGGCTCCCTGGGAAAGTGGTCATGGCATCAAGCCTGTCAGAGTTGAAGGAGCATCTGGTCAATGCTTATAGTCATACGGTTTACTTTTAAGTTGTTCTGCCAGGAGCAGGGAGTTGAACTCAATCTTTAAGGGTTCCTTCCAACTTCACATATTCTGTGATTTCTTGTGAGAATTTGGTGATGAGAATCAAGTGTTGTGTTTTTCTGAGTCTATTTCTCCATATTATTTCCTCTTAGAAAGTAATCAGGCTCTGTGTGGGCTGGCTAATTATCTACCTTGAATTGCAGTGTCACTGCCCCCTCTGCTAAAGGTAGTAGCAAAAAAGATCAAAAAAGGTTGCCTTTCCCTTCCAAAACAGAACAATTTTCACAGTATTTTCTATACTCTAAATTATATTGCAAATTAATGTTCAGTGTCATAAGGTCCAGTCATGGAACAGCACTGTTACATCAGTTTAAACTACTGGTAGAACCACAGATACAGTGTCAAACCTGCGCTGCTTTCTGTATGTGTGGTTTTTGCTAGTATAATAGAACTTTTTATTACTATAGGCAGTTTACATAAGAAAGTGTTTCGCTGAAATAGCTTAGACTACATGGTATATCCTTGTGGAGTCCTCCTGGGAGAAGAGCAAAAGAACTAGCCTTGGAATAAGTGATAGAACATGCTTAGTAGTACTTTCATTCCTTCTTCAGAACACTACAGAACAAAGCTCTTTTCTTAAAAAACCATACATAACTATGAATGGTAGTCATGACGAATTAGTGACTTCTGTGAAAAAATAAAGTTCCTGCTTTAACAAGAACAGAACACCTATGTTTGTGGACATTTCCACCTTTTAGTTTCAGAGTGTTTTCTCATTTTCTTCCAGACCAGTTCCCTGTCCCAATTCACAGCACAGTCTTCTGTCAAAACAGCATGGAGAAGAGGGGACAAACAGCAGCTGTGAGGGTTGAAGAGCAGAAAATATTTAGCCAGCTTTGATCCTTTCTTATTTCAACCTTACTATACTTTACATTAAATTATTTATGAAAGCATAATTCAGTTCATTAAAATGTCAGTTAGGTTCATGTGAAGGACATGAGTAACTTGCCTTGTTGTACACCACTTTCCCATAGTCTTAACATGCATCCAAAAATGAGTTCTGTCTTGAAATCTAATGCACTAATAAGCAGATTGGAGTTTTCCTGATTTTCACCATTTCTTAGATTGTTGACTAGTTTGGATCCTATTATAAAGAGAGGTTTTCTTTTTTAATATGTTGTGCTTTCTGTCACTAGGCAGAAATACTCCTAGCTTTTTTAAAAACAGATCAGATATATTTGTGCAGCCCCACGTGTTCCAAGTAGCAGCGAAATAATTTCTCCAGTACCATCTGTACCTACTTCACTATCCAAAGAGATTCAGTTCCTTCATTTACATGCTCACAATAATAAGATGCCACTGTTGTGTTCATAATATTTACCCAACAAAATCCAAACAGTTGAGCTCAGCCCTTCTCACCCTTTGTACTGCTTCTACCAGGAGTGTTCAAGGTTTAGATAACTCACTGGCAAACTGTTCAGTTGTCTATTCATTAGCTTGCTTTCAAGGCTGATTTAGTTCACTATTACCCACTGCTTTGAAACAGGACTCACTGGCTTGCCATCCGTGTATACATTTCCTCACCTGTGTGTCTTTCAGGTCTGAGGTAAATGTCAGGTTTTCTTATGGTCTTCAAAAAACCTCTTCTGTTTGCATTCTTGTTTTACACATTATGTAATTTAATATTGACTTCATCTTTAGTGTCTTGGTTTCCACCCACTGAAACAATAGAGCAGTTTACAAAGCTGTTCTTTGTAATAACTGACAAGTGTATGCCTGTACAAGTCATCCATTCTGGTTTCGGTGGAAAGCAAATAATGGCGAAAAAGAGAATGGCCATATGTTTTCTTCACAATAGCAATCAAAATAAAAACCTGGTCCTCTCATACCACTTTTTCTGAAAGACTCCTTCTCTCTGTGGGGAAGATGTGTCTGTGATAGATCTGTGGATGGGGGAGAAAGAATCCTTGAAGCTGGGTGTTAGGAGGACTGCAGGCATGTATGGTGGAAGGGAAAGATGGAAAACTGGAGGTTTGAAATTTGTAATACAGCATATGGGGGAATAAAAATTTTATTATTTAGGAAGGGAATACTAGTGATCAGGCCACTGCAGGAAACTGGGAACCAGCTACTGGAGAGAAATAACAAACAGCTTGTGTTTAATTCTCTAGACAGGCTGACTGAGGTTAGAGGAGTGCCAGTACACTTTCTTTTGCTGTTCTGTATATCTGCATCCTAAGAATTGGAAAAACTTTGGAAAGCGTAAGGTGAGAAAAGAATCTGTGTAAAACACAATAGAATAGTTGTGAGAGAAGATGAGTTCCTACAATTTTTTTTTTTGTTAGTGCCATGATGGTGCATTGTTTTCTAATACAAAACATACTATAGAAAATCCTTTCATCTTTGGTTTGGCTTTAACACTCTGTTTAGCAATACAGAAATCACTGCAGTTTGCTGTAGTGTAATTTCCCAGCCTTGAATTTGACTAGAGAATTAGTTGCAACTTTATATAGGTAAGAAGCCATGCTAACCATCATACAAAATCCTTCATCCTACATATTTTATTTTCCACTAGAAAAATAAAGAAAATTAAGATTATCACAACTGAGAAAACTGAAGGAACTATTTCTCCCTTATGGCATGGACATACAATGTTTATGACAAGTCAAAAATGCTAGGCAAGTTTTTCAAATGATGGTAATTTATTTGGCACCAGACTTGAGACTAGCTTATGGATTCAGTACATGCCTGGGAGACACAGGAATACAGGACTGAAATCCCTTCCCTAGACAGGAAAGAAAACAAGAAGTTCTTACTTTGACATGGGCACTGGAGGAAGCAGTGTAGCTGTACCCAAAGAGGAAGGCATCTCTGTTTGTATTTTATGTTTAAGTATGATGCCATTACACAGTACATTCATTTTAGGACTTTTTATTTTAATGTAAGTATAGGTGCGAGAAAAAAAAATCCACAAAACTTCTAGATTGTACTCACTTTCAGAAGACTCCTACCACAAACTTCATAAGAAAGGATATATAATGTTTTCAATAGTCTTTCTTACTTTAATCAACTCCTTACTTAAAATAGAATTCTGTAAGTATTGCAATGACCATCAATTTGTGGTGCAAGGTTTTTCACACTCTTTCTTCCTTTTTTCTAATAGTTTCTATATGTTTTCATTCAAGGGATATTTTTAATATACTATGAACATACACATCTTTATGGGACTTTAAACAAATTAGAGAGTCAATACTGTGAAATTCACTTTGAATGCAATTTAATGTGTGGAAGACTCAAATATATAAATGCAAATATCTTTTTTAAAGTGGGGGTTTCATATTATCATTGATTTTTTCTTCTTTTTTGTTCATAAGATTGTGTACACCAATAATCAAAGTTATAGTCTGTATTAAAAATTGTGCCAAAATAGATAGTGGGTTTTGTGATTGTGACCAAAAGTAACTAAATGCCAGTTATGACAACTGTAATACAGGATATTTAGCACTCAGTGTGCCTTCTAGCTATATAATCATTTATTTTTCCACATTTTGCATATAAGGTATTCAACATTTGGAATATTGTGTAGGTATTTGTAATAAAATACAAAATTATTGGTTACTCACTGAGGTACTTTAATAAGTACCCCACTACACCAAGTGGTGTATGATAGGATTAGAGGAATACATGTATTTTTGAATATGAGGAAAAAAATAAAAATTAGGAAGACCCTGAAATGGTGCTTTTTGTATGTTGTATTATTCCAACTAGCACCTTTTGTTAACTGTTTGGGTAACAAGTAGCACCAACAGAAATGCCTTATAGGTTAGTAGTGGCTGTGATGGGTTGACCTCGGCTGCTGCCAAGTGCCCACCAAGACACTCTATCACTCGCCTTCTCAGCAGGATAAGGGGGAAGAAAACAGGATGGAAAAAAAATTGCGGATCAAGAAAAAGGCAGTTTAATAAGCAACAGTAAGGACTGTGTACCAAAGCAAAGGAAAACAAATGATTTATTCTCCACTTCCCATCAATGGGTAATGTTCAGCCACTTCCCAGGACAAATGCTTCAGTATGTATAGCAGTTGCTCTAGAAGACAAATGTCTTTAATGACAATGCCCCCCCCACTGCCCACTCCATCTTCACCCCACTTCCTTTCTCTTGACATTTTTTACTGAGCACACGTGGCATGGTATGGGACACCCCTTCAGTCAGTTTGAGTCAACTGTACTGGTTGTGTCTTCTCCCAAGATTTTGCTGACTGGTGGGAGGGGAATGCTGTAGAGATGGCCTTGATGCTGTGGGAGCAGTCCTCAGCAGCAGCCAACACAGTGGTGTGTTATCAACACCTTTCCAGCTACCAGTACTAGTAACAGCATTGTGAGGGCTGCTATGGAACAAATTAACATCACCTCAGGTATACCCAATACAGTGAGGCATAAATGAAAGAAAAATATCTCCAAACAAAATGGAAACTGTTGAGTTTTTTTTAAATCCTTTGGCAAAACAAGCTTACTCAATGTGATCATGAATGACTGCAAGGCGATAGAGATAGGACAAGATGAAATACAGAGGTTTCAAACCTAACTCTATTTTGTCTGTAGAGATTGTTTTAACCACATTTTCATACTTTTTTCCAAAGCACTTGGTTGTCCTCTGTCTTTATTTCAAGGTTCCAGGGAGTTGCTCTGTTAAGATGATCAGTTAGGCAGGCTGCCTCTTTCACTATATCATCTTTTCTGTAACTTATTTTGCTTGGAAGAGAAACTCCAAGGTAATAGATGCTGCACCATATTCCAACAGGTCTGCTCATGGCATATAGAACTTCCACCAGAGATCTGGTTAGATGTCTTTGGGAAGTTCTAATTAACATGAAGATTTTGTCTGGTGTTAATAAAATCAGCTATGAGTATCAGAGTTGTTTCCTCATATACTTTTTCTTAATTTTTTGATGGTAAATTATTTTATCATGGATTTCATTTTTTTAATTTGAAATATCAGGGAAATCTTTTTCCCCTTTTCTCCCTCAGCACTTTTTCTTCTATGATTTTAAGCTTCCACTGGGTGGCATAGTTTCTCCCATATAAAATCCAGTATGTGTGATTTTGCAGTAAACTTGGAACTTTGAGCTTCTCTACCTCAGCTATGGCTAAGTCACTGATGGTATAAATGGTAAGAGAATGCACCCTCTGAAGTATGTTCCTTCTATCTATTTATGGCAGTCTGCAGATGGTCTCTGCTTTGAGTTTCTTAAGAACATGTTGAGAAGAATTGCTAGGTAGGTTTCTTTGGTTTTCTCCTTTTATACCCCAGATATCTATGGAAACAAGCACAACTCAATTTATTTGTATATGCCAGATTGTATTTATGAAGCTTTCTCTGGAGATGACAGTATTAGTGAATTTGGAAACAAAGAAAAAAAGTAAGATTTGTGCTGCTCAAGGACCAAACAATAGACATTTGACACTCTTTCTAATAGATTTACAGATCACAGCTGGTTGCAAAATGCAATAAAAAAAACCTTGCAGCAATGCTGGAAGAATTCTTAGAATCTCAAATGGGAAGAAAAACCTTCAATCATCACAAAAGGAAAAGAGTATTCACAAAAAAAAAAAATTAAATTGAACTAAGGGGGTACCAAGGGTCTTCTGCCTTGAATTGTCTGTAGAAATTGAAACTAAATTGCAAAAATATGTTTATCTTTTCATCAATTAGAGTAAACAACTTTCTGTGCCTAAATCTAGCTTTTGTGAATATTTTTATGCTAAATATTAAGAATTGACCCTAACTAGATGCCTAATTTTCTACAAAGTAACTAGGCAATTTTTGTGACATGAAGTTCCGACTTGATGAGAGGGAACCAACATTTTTAAGTCTGGTGTTGGCATCTGCCAGCTCAGCATGCTGTCTGTCACGAGGTGTGTGCTGTCCTTAGCCTCCTTCCAAAGCCACCAATTGTCTAAAAGTTATTTGAATGTCAAATGTTCCTCTAAATTCATCAGTGAAAACTAGTGGAGTGATCCTTCACATTGTGCACAGCTAGGAATCCGATATTCCCTGGTTTGCTTCCAGGCCTTTGAATGTCTTACCAAACTCTTTGAACACACAGAAAGACAATTCCTGACCTGTAGTTTTCGAATGGCATCCAACATCTCATTTCTAATTACTAATGATAATTTCTTTCTTCATACTTTCTGATTAGTAGTTGCATGCTCTGTCCCTGCTCTCCATCTTCCTCACAATTTCCAGTGTTATCCAAATCTATTGTTAGGGCAACAGTCCAGTTCTCCAAATCAAGAGTTGCAAATGTTCAGACAATTTAAAACAAAACAAACAAACAAAACCTCTTGTGAATTTTCTTAATCACACGTAGCAGCACCATTCAGCATGAAAATCAGGAGAAACTGAGTTTTAATTTGAAATATACTTCTCAATTGATGCACCCTTTAGACTGTAGCTGTTTGTGGCTCAAGATGGTATTTCAAATGAGATGGCTAGAAAAGCAGTGAACGAATACCTTTGTTAAATTCCCTGTCTGTGGATAGCTTCTTGGAAACTAAATTAGTCTTTAAGTGTTGCACACTAATGTCAAATAACCACTCTATTGCCAAAAAAATGAGTTGCATCTTTGATCTGAAAACTTCATAAGAAATATTCTCTATAGTGACTAACTTCTTTATCTCCTTCAATTAGTAAACGATTCTGCACGATTTGCAGAAAAATGCCAGGATATGCAAACCAACTCTGAAACTTGCCAAAATACAATAACTGCCTTGAAAACCATTCAGACCTTTTAAGATCTGTCAAAGATTTCACCCTAAATTTAGGAAGATAATGCTAGTACCTTCTTCAACATGCAGTGCCAAATTGTGGGGAAAAAAATATGTGAAGTTTCACTGTGTGGATGTCAGTCTTTGGAGCAAAAAAATGAAGGAATCACTCTACAAAACGCCTAGATTGTTTTGAACACAGTAGTAAGTGAAATGCTTAATCTGTAGAATGGAGATCTGAAAGACATCCCAAATTTAGGCACAGGTTGAATTTTTAAAGTGAATAGATAATGTGCAGACTAAAAAGGTCTGTAGTTAGGTAATTTATTGTTGGGGAGATAAACTTCTGCTTCTCCATGAGGTACTAGACATCAACTACTATCAAAAGAAGAAATTGTGATGAATAAATCATTAGGTCTTGTCCAGCACAGAAGTTACATTTTGCTTGCTAAATAGTTGCTCTATTGTAAAGTCAAAAAGTATGTTTATTCCATTTCAGGTCAGCATCTGTGGATGACAGAAGTGAATGAAACAGATAAAACGATATAAAATAAGCGGATTGTACATAAACGATGCTGTGATACTGATACCTTGGCAACTGCTATATAATTTACTGTACTTTCTTTATATCTCATTATTGCAAAGAAGCATATTCAGGAATTAGGCTAAAAACCTTCTATCCTTCTCTGAGAGAGTATCCTTATGACTAAGCTCTTAGTAAACCTGTGGGGTTTTTGTTTTGTTTTGTTTTTTCTTTTTATGTATTTTTCTTTCCTCTTGCAATGCAGCTAAATGGAATACTTATGGATGGTTTTCAAAACTAGCCTTAGGACATTTTGCCAGTAAAGGGAATTCACTGGCTAACCAGGCCTGGGCTTTATAATTTGAAAAATCTGTTCTGTATTGTTTTAATTTTTTATCAACTGCCTCATGTATCTCAAGGTTGTCATGTACTTTCATCTGTCTTTGTTTCAAAGAGGCCAGATCTTCCAAGTGGATATGATCATTCTCTAACATGTTGAAGTTTACTTGTATCAGTCTTTGACAAAATTTTTTTTCTACTTGCCTAGATTGCTTCAAGTTTTCATGACATTTTAGTTTTGATGTCTTGCCAATATGTTGTATAATGAACTCTACTCTGTTTTCCTACAGTATTTCCTCAACAACTAATTTTTCTGTCTAGTTAAGATGAAATGAGAAAACCACTTGTTCTGTGGCAGTTCCTCATGACTTTATCTGGTCAGGACTCTGTTTTCAGAGGCTTTACCAAAAATTGTGTTAGCTTGTACAGTTGTAGTTGAAGAATATGTCTATCTGGATCCAAGTACTTGAATAGAGTTGCTTAACTGGTGCTCAAAACTTGTGCTTAAAACTGAAAGACATATTCTTCACTTTTTCTTGCATTTAATTGAATTTAACTAACTCTATCTGTCACCTAAAATTCAAAACACAAATTGAAGTGTAGATAGCTGCATTAGGTTATGCTCCAGTCCAAGTCAAATATATTTTGTTTAATGTTTTCCACTATTTTTTTGGAGGATTTGGATGTACAACTTTGCAGAATGAACCTTTGCAGGTTCAGAAAACTCTTAAATATGTAATCAATATTTGAACATATGGCCCATGATATCATTCTGTTGCTGCAATAAAAGTTTGTTCCTTCTCATATGTTTCATTTAGAGAGCTAGAACTGTTGTTTCCTGAAGCTGAATTATTTATCATTTTTCTCTTGATTTTCCAAATTTCAGGTGTTTATCTAGTCATCCTCTCAGTTATCATGTCGTTCAATTGCAGTATCCTGCAGTCCTCTAAGAAATTTGACCCACAGTCAGATCATCTTACGGATATTGAGGACAATCTCCTTTCTGAAAAACTTTCGTGGCATTTGACCTGACCATCTTTATCAAACAGAGTTCATAAATCATTTACCCTGAATGCTACTCCTCATCCTATGTGCTTAAGGCTAAATCTGAATTAAAGCAATCAGCCAGGATGTCAGTCCTCCCATCTTTCTGCACTCTCTTCAGGCCATTATATTGTTTTCTGTACTCACATGTCTTCACTTTGTTTGACAATATCAGTCCAGCAGTTCTGATGCCTGTGGCAGAGCTCCCTGAACCAGGGAATGCAGCTGGTTGCTCTTAATGTTCTGCCCTGGGCTGGGCCCTTCAGCTGTTTCCCTATGACAAAGAACTTTTTTCTAGAAATCCTTCCTAGAATTTCTAGGATACAAATATCCTAATACTATTGTATAACTATCTCTAAACTATCTTTAAAATCCTGAATACTCAGGAACCTACTTATGTCTTTAGCTTGTTAGCTGAGATAGGGTGGAAAGCTTTTCCATGGTCCTACAAGTAAAGATCTTTTACCAAGACCAAGATCTTTTTCTTGGTCATTTCAGCACAGACAATTTAGTTTTATTATCATAAAGGCCTATTCCATAATTACTTGTAATTACTTGGATCTTTGTAGAGTTTGGTTTCAATTTATAGATTGAATCTGATTCATGAAATGGTGTTTTTAATGCTGTCAATTGGGTGGTTTGGCATTATAAAAAAATCTGGTGGCTTTTTAAGTTACATTACATCCTGTAACCATAATAGAAAATACAGAAAACCAAAACAAAACAACATAATTTAATTCCTACTTTTCTTGCTGGAATATGGAAAATTGCTCAGTCTAATTCTGAACAGCTGGTTCTGAATATGTCAAGTTTCGGTTGATTGAATTACCATTAAATAGTATTGAAAAAAATGGCTTATCTCAAAGAAACTAAGCAATCTGATGCCTTATTTGGTAAACAGTCTTGCATCTCTGAAGTCTAGAATTAGATTCAGCCTTAAAATAAATGTTTAAGACCCCAAAAGTATTTTAGTTTTAGAAAACACTCAGAGCTCTCATGCTGACTCTTTTGTTTAAAGAACACTAACTCTAACTTCATGCATAAGTGCTGTGGCATGTCTCTTCTGGTTTTCGCTAAACAAGGACAATCAAGAATTGATAGACAATACATTAATATCCAAAAATAACTTTTTCTTGTCATTACATGGGCTTTTCCACTGACCTTTACTAGGCGATATTTTTAAAATGTTTTAAAAAGCTTAATACATTTTAACTGATAAAAATCTGATCAAGTTCAGCCTATCAGTTTTCCTGAACCTGTGCCAGTTGCATGAGCTGAATCATTCTGGTTTGAGTAATTCCCAAATAAATAAGTGGCAACAGCATTTAGATTTGGATGGATAACTAAGATAGTGAAAGTACTTTAGAAAGACACCAATATATTGTTCTTCAAAACTCTGTTTAAGACTTGTGAATTATGTCGCTAAAGAGAGAGAAGCATATGTGAAAGGAAGAAATGTAGGAAAAGATGTCAAAAAAAGAAACTTCAAATTTTTCCCTCCTAAGTTTAGAATGGGAGTGAGGGAATACTCAAGATGGAAAATCTTTAGGGAAAGTGTATTTAGATGATGATCTCATGACAAACCATCCCAAACTGCTTTGGTTTAGTCTTTGTGACTGTGGGGAAGGACATCAGCTTGTGTGTCCCTAATAGGGGTGTTCTAATAAAGATTAGAGCTGTTTGTTTTGCTTTAAATTAAAATTATTTAATTGGAAAAAGAAGGGTTTAATTTTATTTTTTGAAGGATTTTTTGCCTTCCATTTGTATCAAGCATTACTTGAAATATTTTTGAATCCTGTAAGGAATAAGCCTTAAAACATATTAGGTTTCTTTGTCATTGCTTCACAGTTTATTCTTTCCCACCCTTAAAAAAAAAAAAAAAAAAAAAAAGAAGGAAGCAAAATAAAACACCTCTACCTTGTTATACTGTTGCCTGTCTTTCTTCCATCATAACTGTTTTCTATCAGGGTCATTTTTTTCCTCCTACTATACTGATATGTGTTGTTCATGTACAATAGCTAGGTAAAGTCTGAATTTATAAGCTCTTGATAAAAGAAACCAATCTGACTTGTCTATGTACTTAATCTACAGTGCAGAGCTACTACTCAGCAGGATTTCTGTACAACATCTACTTCCAACTAGCAATGTTAAACCAGAAATAACACCATAACTCTTACACTCCATGTAAGAGTTACGCAGAGGCACCCATAACATGCTACCCATAACCTGTCTTAGAAACCATGTTTTCAAAGTTTTTCTCTTCATAATTTGAGTAATGGAGCCCTTATTACTCTAGGTCCTTGCATGTCTCACTAAAAAAATATAATATTTACCATCTTTAGAAGTATTTTGTTAATCTGAGCATTTCCTGTGTAAAGTAATGCAGTTTTTAAAAAAAACCGCTGAACAAACAAAAAGAGTTAACCTGATTCCACTGAGGGAGAATCTGCCTGTGAGAAATCTCTGCAGCAGACTGAAATCTAGCTGCTGTTAGTTTATTTGCTGGAAGAACACCAGACCATCATTTTGCCCACTTCCCAGAAAAGACTGTCTGTGGGTGTTCTCTTTTCTTTCTCACCAGTAATAGATGAGATCTTGCAATAGACTGACTCCTAGAGAGACTACCTCAAGAAAACTATTGTCATGTAAAACAATTACATCAACCCAAGATCCCTGTTGTTGCCCTTGTACTCTTCCTGTGGTGCAATATCAGTAAAAAATAGTTGCTTCTTTCTTGGAACAAGAAATACAGCAAGAATTACTAAAGCTAATGTTTTGCTGTATTGTTTTGCTTGCTTACAGCCTCCTTTATCACAACCTCTAATTACATTTCTCCTGTGTAAATATGGATAGGAGAAAAAAAATTATTTCACATACTGAAGTCTCCAGGAACATGTGATGATGGGAAGTGGCTTCTCGTACTTGTGTGTCTCAAAATAATGTATTCCTTTGTTTTGGAAAGAAATATTTACAATTTATATTAATCCTTTATCCCATAGGACAGAGAGCCAGCACTGTGATCTCGAGTGCTAAAGGAAACCTGGATGCATGAGTCTTTGTAACCCTCATTATAGTAGCTGGATATCTGGCATAAGCAGGTAAATTCATTCTTGGGACTGTTATGAATCCATTAAGAAAAAGCACACACTGTAAGTTGGGTTTCTTTTCCTGATGTAGTTTATTCTCCTTCCTACTGGTAGAAAAGGCTGACTTCAATGGATCATTGTTATTAATCCTAAAGAAGTTGTCCACTTTCAGCTCTAGTGGTACTGCCCTTAATTTGTTATTCCTGCCCACTAGCTGGAGGGCACAACCTCTGCAGGTTCATGCAAAAGTATATGTAAGGGAGCTCCCTACTCCCTTTGGCAGTCAAGTACGTTAGCTGAAGCCACCTTCACTGATGGACTAAACTGAACTGGACCACTTTGCCAAAACTGATAAAGGATAACTTATTTTCTTGTATCAGAAGACTTAGGAGGTTGGTGACAAATATTAGTGTAACATTATTTTCATCCACCCCAATGTCACAAAGCAGTTATGCTTCTGTCTGTGGAGCTTGTGTTCCTAAAAAGCGCAGTGATTAGCAAGTCAGCAGACAGCAAAGCAATTTTACCTTAAGAATTAATGTAATAGAATGAAAACTAATACAAGGACTTAAGTACAATTTAAATACACAAGGACAGTACGGTGTGGAAGGTGAAGAGTCAGAAGCAGGATCATCAATTGGAGGAGGTGCTGGCTTTTTGGTAGCTGAGATGTTTCAGTATGATCTGTCACAGCTTGCTAACTGTCATCATTACCTCCTTTCCTCATCCTTCATCCTTGAGAGACAACTCAAATTCACTCAAGTTAGAGAAAGATAATGACTATGATGAACCTTTCAGAAATAGGCAGCAAGAAGGCAGAAAATATTAAGGTCAGGATTTCAGCCTCATAAAAGTAACCAAGTTTGACAGACACAAAGTCACAAATGCTAGTCCACAGAAAACCAGCATCTCCTCCAGCTGACAAGCCTAACGATGTTACTGCCTCCTTTCAATAGTTATGCTTTCATCACTGTAATAATCTTCATCAGATAAATTAAGGTCATTAATGCATGACAGATGGAAAAATGAATGGGGAAATGGCGGTGGGCAGGAAAGGATGTTAAACAATTGGTGATGTAACTCTAAAAAAGCAACAGTGCAGGATGTTGCTGTGCTATATATTGAGTAGGGGACATAAGACATTCTGGACTTGGTCTGCATTCAGCAAAAAGGCAAACACTTCCCTGGTGACAACTGTGGTGGTAATGTTATGTCTAGCATAAGCTCTCCATAAATTACTAATACTAGAGTTTATATTGTGGAAGTCATCTTCTTCCCTCACTTCCTTATAATAAGATGTAATGTCATTATATAGTCACAGGCTTTTTATTCAGCAGGACTCTTGTTTCCTTTGGTGTATCAGATGAACGATGCTCACTTAATGAACAATAATCCAGTACTGTTTTCCCTTTGATACTCAGTGTGTGGCCCTCAAAATGATTTAATACATATTGTTCTGAAGACAGAGCTATGAATTCTCTTAGGAGTTTTTCTCACTACAGTGCGTGCATGTGGCTCACAAAGTAATTTATTTTACCGTTGTGGTAGAGGAGTGGCGTTCCACACACAAAGGGTACATTTCAAAATACCTGCTGATTTTGGTTGCCTAATCTGAGACATTCTGGATCTGGTTTGTTCAAGGCACTTGCAATGAGTAGCCCTTCATATGCAAAAATGCAGATCCGATTACTCTTACTGTGAGTTCTCAAGGCTTTTGCAAGTCATAGCCTGAGATATCTGGGCAGGTACGCAGAAAATTAGGAAACATACAGTTGCAGCTGTTAAAAGCAGAGGAAATCAATTCTTCATGGTAGTGTGAACTGAGGCCTCTTTTCTCTTCCAGCATCCCTGTATCTTTCATACTTTCAAAACACAGGGATTTTGAAAACAGAAGTGTCCTTGCCTACACAAGCTCTGTTCATGGCTGGAGGCAAGGGCTATGAACAGACCATAGGGATGAAAAGAGAAGACATGGGTAAAAGGGGCAGGAGGTCACACCGCAGAAATCCGAGGTCCCTTTGATACACAACAGCAAACCACTGCATGTAGTCATGCAATAAAGACCAATACAATTCAAAAGGGGAGGTAATCAAGCTATTTTTGTGAGGTGACTGTCCATAGTCATGTACTTCACACATGATCTGTCTCCCTATTATGGGAAATTGAAGCTATGAGATGCATTTG